CAGTGGAATCGATTCTTAAACTATGAAAAGGCTTATTAACAGAGGTGCATTCGAAGGTGTGAAGTAAAAGGTGATGTAATAATTATAGTGTGTTGAAATAGTGTCAAAAATATTTGTACACCATTTATATCTTCAACGAATATACCTGATTTCATTTACAGAAAAAATATACAAATTTAAAAGTTTCATTTTCATTAGCTGTTTTTCTTTCCCTCCTCAAGTTACTTCTATAAAACTGGAATCTGCTAAAAAGAACATGAGAGTACTATTCTCTTCAGCTAAATCTGGCACTTTTAACATCTCGTCATATCTAACATCTAGCCCCAATGTTTCCATGGCAACCACCAACCAACCTAAATAATGTTGATATAGCATACTACGCTATGATTGGCTGGTTTTGGATAGAACATTGCAGCACAGGTAAAATATTTGACAATCAGAAGTACACATTCTGCATTAGGTGCCATAGAAACATTCCAAGCTAGACCTCAAAAAGACATGACAATACCATACTTATACACAACCTATTCTCTACCTACTCTACCTTCTCTGAGAGTATCCTGAAAGTGCTGTTTAGTGCTTTGACTAGCATGAATACAGGAACTAATACAAATGTCTGTGAGTATCTCTGAGAATCACCCTGTACCCTTCTTCCTTTATTTCTTTCTCACCAAGCACTGATTGATCACCTCCAAAAGATGACTATTCTCTAAAGCAGCTGCCACTCTTTCTTTGTCTGCAAGCTGCTTATTTACTGGAAAAAGAGAGAATAAGATATAAAGTTTCTTTGTATTATTAAGTGGGTTGTAAAAGGGTGTAAAATGAAACACAAATTAGAGAAACTTTAAATAAATAAATAAATAATAAAAGAGTTGACAGCAATTTCAAATGATGGCTTTTCTTTCATTGAATTTCAATTAGAATTTAGAARTTTATTTTTGCTGAGGAAGGAAAACTGGAGAACGTGGAGAAAAACCCTCGAAGCACAGGAGAGAACAATAAAAGCAACTCTACTTACATAAGACACCAAGTCTGGGAATTGAAATCGAAATTAGCCAATCAGTACACAAGTTATTGTAAACATATATATTGACTGAACAGTTTTTACCTGCTAGTTCTGATTGATGAGCTCCTGGTGTGATGGTCACATCAACCTAATGAAAGGGGGAAAAGGAGTAGTTTTATTGAAGGAAAAATGATTGGCCACAATGCCACTATTAAATAGCCACATTAATATGGAGTGCAAACAATATAACCGTGAAACTTTAGTAAAACTAAATAGCACACTTTCATGCAAATTCCATTGTTTTCTATTGTTTAATTAGCACTATTTTGTACTATTTAGTAATTAGTGTTTCACGGATTAATTGTTTGCACTCTAAAACCCTCACAAAATATATAATTTATAAAACAATAATTATACAGGAATCGAAATCCCAGAAGTGAGATGGGAGTGCACTACCACTACAAAACCCTTCATTCCGGCCTCTCAATGGCTAAATATGACAGTTGGCCATTTGCCTGTCTGACATTTTAGCTCAGTCATACCTCATGTTCAACAGCCCTTTTTAACCATCCAAAGGCAGGGCTTAAAATAATAGCAGATTAGTTGCCAGTCATGATCACAGGCCAACTATTTCTTTTATCTAAGTCATACCTTATTTCTAGCTAAACGTTACTGGTCAAAATGACCAGCAAGGCAAAGATTTCACTGGACAAGTTTGATTTCTTGCTGAACATCGTCTGATGTGTGCCCATTAATTTTAAGCACTTCACAGGGGCAACTTTTGGAAATTTTTTGGACTGCACAGCTGGCAGGATGTGTATTCTGGTGCAAATGACTGGCAAGACAAAAATTGGCTTACCATACTTTTTCAGAACCTAAATATCCATATCGAGAGTATTAAATGGAAACAAAAAGACGCTACACTTGAAGGTATATGTTAAAAAAACAACCAATGTATTTCGTTTTGTTCCGCAAAGTACAATTGATGGTTTTCATGGCGGCCATGTTGGAGGAACTTAACAAAAGAATTGTTAATGAATTATTTTGTCATATCCTCCAATATGGCCGTCGTGTCTTTTGTTAATATTTCATTCTCTTGGGAACGGTTGAAAACCATCAATAATCCCTCAATTTTCGTTTCATTCGTTTTGTTTTGTTCGTCGTAAGCAGAAAAATTTGATGACTGACTGTATTTTCATCCCTGCTTAAAAAATTAAAGCATACCTTGAATCTTTCTGGTAATGACCGTAGCAGTTTCACTCTTATTGCCAGACCGATAAGTGTAGCCATGCTACAGTGGGGTATAGTTGGGGTAAATTGAACTTTAACTTGACTTTCATCATCACTGACTTCAACTAACGATTGTTGTACAACATTCAACTCCTCTAATGTTAGTGGATGCTCTGGATCATTGATAAAACGAATCATGTCTACGATATGTCAAGGGTCAATCCTCTCATTACACTGTAATCTATAAATACACCAATAGTTTCAAATTCCCAGAACCGTTCAACTCAGAGGACAAAACAATTAATTTCAGCTCTTATGAGAGTAAGATTCTGTTTATTCGTCCTCTGAATTGGGCTGCATTGGCAACATCCTGCAAGGGGTCTATAAGATCAGGCTTTTATATTCAAAAATCACGACGATCGGAGAGAAACATTCAAAATTAGCTGTTTCGTTTTCAAAACCTCAATAAAAGGATACCAAATACCTCTCTACTGTCTATTTTATCTTTATGGTTCTCATCTTCTTCCTCTACGGTGATAACACGCTCTGCAGCCCGTTCAAATACTGCAGGATTGACATTTTCAAACTCAACAGCCGCCATCTTGGATTATACGACAATCTCCAAAAGCACCTTGGGATTCCCTTGGGATATTGATTGACTGGGATCGGAAATTCTTCGGGACTAATTCGGGATTATCTCGTGACCCAGCGTGGGTGGAAGTTTGTCAAGAGAGACGCGGCATTAGAGAGWTTTAGATTTACGTTCACGGCAAACGTGAAACGTCAGTTGACCAGTAAAAAAGTCTTTTGAATTACTGAAAAAGTATCGCAAAAACGTTCAAGTAGTAGAAAAACAAAAGAGTATTTGCGCTTGGTAAGAAGGTTTGTAAAAGGTAAAGTAAAATAAAGGAAAACTATGAAAACGTGCTCACGTTTGCCGTTTGCGGGGAGAAAAAAAAGTCAATCTAAAACTGTCTATTGACAAAATATTCCCGCTGTTAAAAAAAGGTTGACTTGAATGCTGAAAGGCATGTTTTACATATGATTGTCCCTATAACTTTGGCCCAGGAGAATGTTTCACTTGAGCTTGGGCGTTTTTGTTTTTTCACATTTGAAACTACGTGTGATTCCCTTTAGTATTATTCCTATTATTATTTATTATATTATTATTATTCCTATTATTATTATCATTATTATCATTATTATTATTATTATCATTATTATCATTATTATTATCATTATTATTATTATTATTTTTAAATTTGTGTTGATAGAAAATATACGTTGTTCATATTCTTATGCATGTGCGTATAATGTTGAGTGTACAAGATCTAGAGTAAGGTTGTTATAAATTCGTAAAAATATAATGCTTTCCTTCTGAATATCAATAAAAAAAGCTTTTACCAGTAATTTTTAGACCCTCATAGATTATTCCAG